GGATGGGAGAAGAGCGCGGGAGAAGACAGGGATGGCTGAAATGGAAAGGAAACATGAATTTTGAAGTGACAGGGCCAGCGTGAGGCAAGGAAACCAAAAGAAGGAGGCAGAACAATGAAAAAGGAGATGCAGAAGTAGCAACAAATAACTGTCTAAGGGAGGTGATTAGCTAAAATGGCTGGTGAATAGGGAAACGCTTTATTGAGCTGCCGTCTTGGGCACTACCGAGCCTGGAAGGCTTTCCTGCCCCCAGCCCTTAGCGCATCGTGCCAGTCAAGGGGTCTCCCCTGCAGATTTTGCCATCTGGAGGAGCTCTGGTATATTCTGTCTTGCCTCCTTGCTTCTCCATCTTATTTAAATTCACATCACTTTTTCTTCATCCAAGTCTCTTATTCTCTCATTTATCTTTGTAACTGTGTTATAATTCACTTGCTGTGGCATTTTAACTGAATTATAATTTCAGTTTCTGAGACAGGGATATGTGCAGGATGAAGGACAAGATCTGTTTCAATCTAAAGGTTGAAAAGCATACTTAAATTAACCTGGGAATAAACAGCTTGAGGAATGCCACTTTGTTCCCCAGGTTGGCATATGCAAGCTGAGTATACTCTATCATAAATGTACTTTCACAGTTGGGACTGTTTCCTCAGCACAGGCACTGAAATTGTGTTTTTCAGATCTCAAAACTAATTGAGTATTCCTGGAAGAAATAACTAAGGAGAACGTATATTCGACAAGTGCTTTACAGCCCTGTCAATCAAAATCAGCTTACACTGGGAAAAATGTGATGTCAGTGACCGCTTCTTTCCCCCGGTGCTTGCCAGAAGCACAAGACAAACTGAACTGTGAGAAATAACCAGGGTGAGGAATGGGCTGAGGGAGACAGAAATCATAAAATCTCACCAGTCCCAAGTCCAAAGTGCAGGCATTGGGGACACAAAGATTTGAACCCATTCTGATACTTTGCCTTCACATCTTACTGTGGGCTCCCCGGGAGGGGCATTAGTTACCGAGTCGGGTGCCATTCCAGATTATTCAAAGCCTGATGTTAAAGATTGCATTGATTGAATTGGGCAGGAATAATATAGGCAGTTTCTTAAGTTTCTCAGAATTCCTATCTTCAAAACTGGCTTTAAATGACATAGTTACAGCTGAACTCCTTTTTATATCACAATTATATATTACTATAAGATAAAGATATATATTTATATCTTAGTATTTCATAATGGATTTTACCAATGGGAGCCCTTAAAGATATTATTCTTTTTACAAGTCTCAGCAGCTCTCCCTGCTTAAGTGAGAATTAGTTGTCGTTTTCGTAAGTGATCTTTGAAACAAATGAAGAAAAATCCTCCGAATACCTTTCTCTCACTACCCACAGGAAGAGAAAAATTGACCATCTAGTGAACTATGCATCTGAATTAATCAATATAATGACTACTTATTTACGAGTTTTTCCCCAGTCAGACAGGAGTAAGACTAGTGCATCTGTCATATGGATCAGAAAGAATAATCAGAAATCTTGAAAAACGTAAGGCCAACGCACTACTAATACCCTGAAGGGCTCAATCCATCCCACAACACACCGTTTTTACAGCTTCCAGCCATTTTTATGGCCAGGGCAAAGGTAGCTCTTGCGCACAACCCTGGCTCCTACAGGAACTCTGTTAACATGAGGCCGTTCCTGAACCCCCAAACCTTTCTTAACAGGACCAGAGGGAGGCTTTGTCTACAAAGACACATGCAATGGCCGCACATCTTGGTGGGTGCTTCCTAAGATGAACCAGCATTTTCTGGATCAAAGTTACAGATGAAGAGGAAGGAGATACGAGACTAAAAAGCCTTCGCGTATCTGGACCTAAATGTCCTTTTCTTCAGAAATAAGGCCTCTGCAGCAAGTGTCTGAGATGGGGAGGAGAACAGAGCAAACAATGACTCTTCCCTGGTGACCCACAGCCAGGACAAACTGCTGTAGCAACTGAAAGTGCTAAGCAGAAAATGGGAACCTTACACGTCTCTGGAAACTTCTGTTTGGATGGCACCTAGAACAGCAGTACATTAGTTATCAGGATGTGCTAAAAGCTCCATTGTGCTATTTTAAAGTCAACTAGAGTTATGCCACCGATTACAGTAGGGTCACATCTCACTTTGTTTCTCTTTGCTTTCTGGTTTGGTTTTGGGCTTGTGGTTTATTTGTTTCTTTGTTTTAGTCCCACCATCTTTTGTCCTTTTCATTCTTTCAGCCTTTTTTAGGGCCATCAAGCCATCTTTTTCAAGTTAGGTAGCCTGGAAAGCTAAAGGAAAAAAAAAAATTAACTAGAAACTCTTCTGCCAGCTGATCTCAGACAAATGAAGTGATTTAGTTTTCAGATTTTGTACGAAGCCGGTTGGTTTCAATACACACAGCTAATTCTCTCCACTTTGCAGTTACAAGAAGGACTTCTGGGGCCATATTCTGTATTCTCTTTTCTGAGGAACACTACCCAAGGAATACTAATTAGAGTGCTTGAGGAGTAAGGTAAGCAAGGCTGGCAGAGTCTGAGCTCTTATTTACTCTGTGTTATCTCTGTCCAAATGTTCAAAGCAATATGGGTGGTGACTGATTCGCTAGTTAAATTCAAAACAGCATGTGTGTATGAGAGGCTGCCAAGTTTCTCATGTGTATTGCTATTTGTGAGAAGCTACGCACAGACAAAAAACCCAATCATCCAGTTTCTTAATTTCACTTTGTATCTTTATTTCCATTGTAAGTATTAACAATAATCCAAAAGGCCATTTAAATTTGGTTTGGATGCACAATAGCAGTAATCACAGTGCATTTTTATTTTTTTTTACTGCAGTTCTGGTATTTTGTGATCTGTTTTAGTAGTTCTGTTGTTTGCATATTTGCTTCCAGCAAAATAGATGTTTCAGTGTTCACACATTATTTAAAGACTCTTAACAACAAAAAAATCCATAATACAATGATTAACAGTACACTAATAAAGCTTATTATCTTCCATTTAAGATTAGTACTAAGTAAGTATCAGGTTTGATGACCTGATACTTGCTTTCTGTTGTGTAGTGTCTGTTCTCTTTTCCAAATAAGTTACTAAACAACCATAATACCATTTTTCATTACAGGAGTTCCTGCCAATAACATTTTTAACGGGATTGAAGGAGGTGAGTACAGCCACCCTACAAAGTAAAAGGTTCTGTTTAAGCAAACCAATGCTAAGGCAGTATCACAATGTATAAACCAGAGTGGAAAGAAAACGTGAAGGATTTTCTAAATTCACTTGCTTATCATTTGGGGAAAGCACATCACGGATTGTATTTTAGTCTTCAAGTGAAGAAGAATCACAAAATACACTCAGAGAGACATCTTCCATCGTGTCTTTTAAAAGCCTGTGAGATGAATTCCTTCATCAAATTTATTTATGTAAAAACAAATGCAGAAAACTTATTTGTGAAAGCTGTCCTGTTAAATTATGAATACCAGTAATAAATTCTTTAGCTCCTCATTTATTTGTGTACTCTGTATACAAACAGACAGAGTATATACATGAATAAAATATGCCTATTGTATAGCCGTACACAGAGCTAATACGAATGCCTATGTTGTACAGTGTCAAAAAAGGACAAATTATTAAAGTAAAGAGGAGGGAGAAGCAAGGAAGCAAGCAGATGATGCACAAGAACTTTATTAGTTGTCTTAAGATGACCTTGGTGTGGAAGAAAACGTGCGCTTTGGATCTAGAACAGTCTGGTAACAACTCTTATTTTACTGTGCCATGACAGAAGCCTGGGATCAGCAGCAGCTTCTAAAATGGATTTAAAACAGAGACAGACTTGGTGGAATGGAAGGAGACCAAGCATGGGTCATTGTATCCTAAGTTTTGTCTGAGCACCAGAGGGAGTGAAACATGGTGGGAGTAAGGGGAGGACTGCTGGTTTCTGAGGGAAACTTCCTCAGCAGGAGAATGGAATTCCTCAGTCTGATGTGCAGAGGGACAAGTGTTTTCAGTGACGTCCTCTTCTTGTACCGCTCGTAATGGTTGTGATGCTGGAGATACTCCCCATAATAACCCTTCACCGTTCACTCTCCCAGTCCCAACCTTCCACCCTTGAATATCACCGTGGCGTACATTTGAACTCGGAACACCCACTTCACTACTGCTTACACATGCTAACCAGCGAGAGACGAAAATTGGGTTCTTGCAGATGAACCGACAGATCGGGTTGTGAAACATGTTTTTGGGTCTTAACTCCTCTCTTTTCCTTTAAGCACACATGCACATACACGCAATTGCGCACACACAGGGAGTCTGTGTGACACAGTGCTCAGAGGAGCTACTGGAGCACGTTGAGAAGGGATTAACGTGGGGACTGGAAGCAGTGCAGCACCACGGGCTGCTACGGCCAGAGCACACCGCACCTGGAAATCGGGTTTAGCGCCTCCTTGTCCTCATGTACATCTTTTCTTTGATTCGAGGTGACCTTCATTCCATGGAGGACGGGGACACTTCTTGCAATGTATGTTTCTGCTGACGTCAGGAAGGCTACACTGTGTAATGAACTCCACATTCACTGCCAGGTAGAGCAGCAATTTTAACGTAATTTCACATAAAGAAGATGAGCTGTGCCTTAAAAATATTTTACCTTAAATTTCATTCACGCAGTCCCAGAGTACAACACACATACACGGGTTAAAGAACTCTCCATGGATGCTTTGGTGTCCTCCGTGCACCTTTTTAAACGATCAATACCTCAAAAAACCATTTCAGTATCATTCCTCACAGAAGGCACACAGTGTATCTCAAAATGATTTGTATTTAATTTCACACTGCATACATAGGATCAGACATGCATGTTAAGTATCAAAAATATGCCATTAAAAGATCTTAATATTAAATATCATAAATCCAGAGTTTTCATCAAAGGGTAAAATTATTCAAGACCTTTGGTGAACGGATGCTGAAAAAAAAAACACTTCCAAAAGCTACACGTGATTTCTGGTTTTATGCTACCAAGATCTGCCCAATCAGCTCCGGGTTTCTATCCTTTATTAATGCCATGATAAGAGCAGCAGCAGAATTTACTGTCTCCTGAAGCAGCAAATGATCCTGGGGGGGAAAAAAAGGAAAAAAAAAAAAAAACAGAGAAGAGAAAACAGTGTGTTAACAAGTGGAAAAAGTGAATATTAAAATCAATTTTCAAGTATGCAGAATTACCATATGAATGTTGAAAAAAACCCTCAACATTAATTTGTACTTATTAGAAGAAGTTCTAAACCCTACATTTTAAGGAAACATAGTAACATCAGAGTATCCATTTCCAAATCTCTACAATGATTTAAAAGCAAAAATTATTTTTTAAAAAGCAGTGTATTTTAACTGCTAGAATTAATGCCATCTATCTCGAGACCACTGAAACATAAGCTTGATTCTGTCACTTGCTTCCTAGTTGATTTTCGAAATCTAGAAGGTAGTAAAAATTTGGGGTTTGAAAACAGAAGAACAAAATGGAGGATTTAAGTGAGTAGCATGGTTAAAGACCTGCAACTTTAAGCACCTCCCGAATCCCATCTGTAGCCTACAAACTACTTAAACTCACAAAGGCATTTACGCACTGAGACTTGAGCCATTTAGGCTGATCTTTGTATCAAATAACTTTAAAAAGCAGTCTGGTTTTGATAGGCAAGTATAGAGACCAACACAGGAAGAAGTAATAAAATGAGACTTTGATTCCGTGTTTCTGACTAAGCACTCCAACTCCGGTTTGAAAGAGTCCTTTGTCTAATTGCCAAGTTTCCTTAATTGTATTGACCATAAAATGTCAGCCTCTTGCTACCACTAACATTTTCATTTGCGCACTGGGAAAATACCAGTAGGTGTAGCCAGGCACAGACACATCCCAGGAGAGAGAAACAGGAGGGAACCGTTTCTGTGAAGCAGGGGAGGAAGCAGAAAGGTCTGCGGAACTCGAGGGAAGATTCTAGAAGAGTTTCAAACACACATGGGGAGCTACAAAGCGAAAGCAAGAGCCACTCTCCACAGCCATGATGGATAAACTTGGAAGCAATAAACTTAACGGAACTTACACCGGGATATAAGATGTCAGGAAAGGCATTTTAACCAGCGGACAGTGGAACAGGTTATTGGACAGGTCAAGGAAACTTATTGTTAGGGTCCTCGAACATAACAGGAGACCCACATAGACAGAAAACACCAAGCAGGTTCAGCTTCCTGCCTGGGGCAGGAGATGGAGCAGTTAAATTCTCTATCTTTACACCACCATTTTTCCAAGATGCTGCAACAAGGCAGATTTAAGAAACTTGTATTAACAGAGAAAGAGGAAACAGTTTCAACAGCTTATACAAAAAAGTAATGGAAAAACTGCTTTTTAAGGAATGAGGCTACTGCTGAAGGGATCCATTATTCAGCCAGCACAGAGGGGAGCTGCAGACTAAGAAGCTGGGGTTGAAGGAAAAACTGAATGGAGAAAGGTGTCCCTGGAACACTTTCAAAGTTGAAGTGGGTCCAGAGGAGCGCCGCAAAAATGATCAGAGAGGTGGAGCACCTCCCCTACTAGGACAGGCTGAGAGAGGTGGGGTTATTCAGCCTGGAAAAGCAAAGGGTCCGGGGAGACCTTACAGAGACCTTTCAGCACTTTCAAAAGGCCCATAAAAAAGATGGGGACAAACTTTACAGCAGGGCTTGTTGCAACAGGACATGGGATAATGTTTTTTAAAATAAAAGAGGGTAGATGTAGACTGGATATAAGGAAGAAATGTTTTACAATGAGGGTGGTGAAACACTGGAGCAGGTTGCCCAGAGACATGGTAGATGCCTCATCCCGGGAAACATTCACTGTCAGGTTGGACAGAACTCTGAGCAACTTGATCTAGTTGAAGGTGTCTCTTCTCATTGCAGGATGTTGGACCAGATGACCTCTGAAAAGATCCCTTCCAAACCAAAGCGTTCTATGATTCTGTGATAATGTTCTTATTAACTTGGTGCTTTACCTAAACGACAGGGAACGTGCCAGAGAAGCAACGGGTCAGAATTAGAAACAGCTACTTTATACCTGATTCTTTCATTATTCCTGGAAAGCGGTATTTATATTTGACCAGAATTTTATCCTAAAAAACCTGTCAAATAAGTAAACTGTCACAATTCGTAACCCCCAAAAGATTCCACTCCTCACAAATTCATGTTACATACACTAATACGCAGTAAAATTATTTATTAGTGTTCTAAAACATTGTCGAAGGGTGAAAATGTTTACCACAACCCCGTCTTGCTGTTTACTGAGTGACACCTGGCGCCCAGTTAAGCAAGGAGTGCACGAGCGTACTCAGCTCCTGCTCCTCCAGGACCTTTTGTCAAGGGCTGAGGGTACAAAAAAGAACTCACTCAGGACCCATCACCCCGCTTTGGCAGGGGGTTCATTCCCTCGTTTCCCACGGCTATAAACCGGTGTATAATGCACAAGGAGAGCGCAAGTCATGCGCACACACCCACTCAGACAGCAAACGCCGCAGTCGCTTTCAAGATCCAGCAACACAGCTCCTGCTACTCAGCAACACCAATCTCTTTGCGCCCCTCACCTCGTTCTGCTCAGTTTGACTTGAGAAGTGCTTCACAATTACAGACACTGTTTTCCAAATGGGCTTCCAGCCATATCTAAAGTTGGCTGGAGGTGTATTTTATTTTTTTCCCCCATTTCACAAAAAAAGAAATAAAATACACCTGGCCAGGAATGCTCTTAATGTTTCTCTCAATAAATCTTTCCACATCCTCTGTTGGTTACTGGATTCAGTACACATTCCTTTGCAGTAATAAATTATTTAAGTTTTTGAACATAAAAGGAAGCAAGAGAAAGAAATTTAACTTCCAGACAAAAGACTGAAAGTGACCCTGCAAGATTCCTTTAGACTGAAAAAAAGCTTTTTCTAAAGCTAAACTTAAGTCTTTAGTGCTAATTTCCATGTTCTGAAGGAAAGACATGCAAAAAATTATGAGTTGTATTTGTAGTGCAGACAATGCGGCACAGTAACGGGTCCAGAAACCTGCACGCACGCAGCAGCGGTCTACGAACCACCCTGCAATGGACTGGGGAATTGCAATTTGTTCAAAAAGAGAAACACAAGAAGTAAGCAGCCCAAATTAAAATGCATTTGCAAGTTTTACAGTTACTTCACTTCTAATAATCTGATTATTAATACTATCCTAAGCCTCCAGGAAACCAACTGGTTCTCGTCTTTCTTACACCCAATCAATACAACGGCAGGAACGATGAACTGTCAGACACGAGTGGATTAGTCCCTGTAAGTCCGTTTTTTGAAAAAAACCAGATGTGTCTTCTTTAAGTGTATATACAGTATCTTATTGAAGTTCACAAGAATAATAGAAAAAAATTACTTTATACAGTTACAGTTGACAGTTAAATGACAATGAAACATACAGAGAAGATTTCAACAGGGCGACTTCCTTTAAAGCATTTATGATAGGGATCACTCATTTTTAGACTTATGCTGTTGCTCCTTCCCAGTAACGCTGTCTCAGACCAGTCTCGGGGTCACCTGTGCCTTAACAGTCTGCCAAGTGCAGGAGAAATCGGTGCACAGAGGTCAAGTACGGGCCGATTTTAACTTGCTTTATACTCACAGTCTTACTGGAAAGAGGCAGTAAATGACACAAAGAACTGGACTTTTCCTGGAATTTCAAAATCAGTGTATATCCTGTATATTTCTGAGAAACAAAACTCGCTCCTATGCTAGAAATCATTATTGTAGTATCCGAGAGTCATAGCCTGTGTGTAATTTATAAGTTCTGTTGATCATTTCTAGTCCTTACCAAAAAGAGAATGGAAAAAGAAATTCTAACACACACACAAATTCTGACAGAACGGTTAAGTTATATCTGAAGTATTCTTTCCTCTCCTCTGAATTCTGCTGGGAATTTATTTCATTTCAGGCCACGCACGTAAGCAGGTATTTACAATGTACCACAATGACACTTAGTTTTTTCCTAAGTAGTTGCACGTAATGTTATTCCAACAGTATTTACGAGGAATATTAAGAATTAACATGACAGAATTCAACAAGTCAGGAAAGAAGAAGAATCTTATGGGTCTTTATTAATTTAAACAAATAAATGAACCCTTCAAGTGCCCCGGCTAAACCCTTAAAACACCCATGTTTCTGACACCAGTGCTGACTGCAGCTGATGGTGTCTACAGGGAGGCTTCAATAAGGATGCCAGGACAAAAGCAATACACCAGCCCTAGCTCCACAGGCCTCCGATCCTCTTTTACGTTCAATGGTACAGTACTCAATCTTTCAAAAAATCTCATTATTAGTCGCAGGAAGTCAAATAATCAAGCAGAACCAGGTCTCAACACGTCTAACTGCCTAACACGTCTAACTGCCTGACACGTCTGCATATATTGTAACCACGATAAAAACCAGGATGTAAGAACAAAACCATCAATACGAATCCTCACGGGAGCTGCCAAGAGCTCTCGCGTGTTATTGCCCACCCACTGCTCGGTGTTGTAAATTCCGAGCAGAGAACATACTTCAGCACGCTAGTCAGTGAGCGCACAGCCCTGCACACGCTGGATGGAGCACGCATGAAGAGTTCTTTCCCCGTTGACCAAATCCTTAAAAAAGACTGTGACATTTAAACAAGGCTCAGGGGCAGTAACTAATTTAATGGATTAATGACTGAAGTTCCACATGATCAACTGGTGTGCCATGATCCCCGCTAAACCATTGTGATACTCACTGTCTATTCATTTCATCCAGTTGACATAAATGAGTCTCTTGTAAAAAGAAAAACCAAAAACCCCTAACATTTCTTGGCCATTAATAAATAGCATTTTTTATTGTTTGAACAGATGATTAACTACATTTATAAGCTAAAAACAAAACTTTTACCACTTTATATTTATGTACTTTGGAAAAGAAAGCACTCAGAAACACTGCCAACCTTATAAACCATAAATCCACATAACAGCACTTTGATTCCAAAATAAAATATCCACTTTGTCTGTTATTAAATAGTAAAAATATTCCAACATACCCATATTGTGTGACGGTTGTAACTCATACTCACAA